GAGTGAGGGAGAGGTGGGGGTTTACATAAAGCAAAGTAAAAAAACGAAATGATGAACGAAGCAAAGTGCCGACTACTCCGAGCATCTTCTTGTTTCCACTGATCGTAAAAACAAAGAGAGAGAGAGATGAGAGAGAGAGAGGATGAAGGATGAGGGAGTCTTCACCACCACCACAACCCAAGGGGGGTGGCCCCGTGGGCCAGATCCCGATGCTCTTCTTCTTTATTTGCGAGGCGCGGGATTAAATCGATCCCTCGTGTCGCGAACTAATCCGATTATTCTGCCGCTCGTCTCTGACGTGGCCGAGTTTTCCAGTGGCGTCAAGGCGGCACCCGTGCCAGGCTAGGTGCACTTTGTGGCGTCGCTGCGGGCACGAGATCCGTGTCCTTTCGGGGGGTGGTGGTGGTGGTGGTGGTGAACGCGACCCAAACCTAAATATCTCCAAAATATGATAATTGTTTTTGTTACCCTTTTATCTGGCAACAAAACTGACACCTTTTTTACAAGGAGTCATGTTTGCATAGACCACAATACCTGCAGTCGGAATGCAAACAAAAAACATAACTCTGATAATGTATGCACTGTCCTTGAAGTTGATTGGTCCACACCCGAGACAGCTTTCCTTAGAGCCTAGTCTCTCATGGTGTTGGACCAGATGACGCCAAAAGGCGCACAACTCAAAAACAATGCACCATCAGAGTATGAGAGCTCGGGGTAAGCATTTACACAATTGGAACCTCATTTGCCAGTAACAAAATATGATAATTGCTTTTTTACCCCTTTATCTGGCAACAAAACTGACACCTTTTTTACGAGGAGTTATGTTTGCATAGACCACAATACCTGCAGTCATAATGCAAACAAAAAACACAACTCTGATAATGTGTGCACTGTCCTTGAAATTGTTTTTATTTTATTTTTATTGACCGTATTTATTATTTTTCTACCGACGTGACATGACGGAAATAACCAAAGAATATTCATTCTTGCAGTCACGAAAGTTGCAAGTCAAAGTCTCCTCCTGTATTGCTGTCTGTCCTCCTCATTCCTCTTCAACGAATGTCGCGACTTCTTGGTGCGCAGACCGATACAACGAGTGAAGAAGAGTCACGGGGGGGGGGGGGGGCCTGGCTACCAGAGGTCGTAACCGGGTACCCGATACCCGTACCCTACCCGATACCCGTACCCTACCCGGCCGGGTACGGGTACCCGTTTGCGGCCGGGTACGGGTAGACCGTGAGTCACTGGTGAGTAACTGTTTGTCACTCATTTCCCAACGTCTTGTCTCTTCTCACAATTCAAGTTCCTAGAATCAACCCACCCGCGCCTGCAACATGGCTTCATCCCAGAGGTCGCAATCAGGTACCCGGGTAGGGTACGGGTATGGCCGGGTACGGGTACCCGTTTGCGACCCTGGTGCGGCCGGGTACGGGTAAGGAATCAAAACCCGTTTGCGACCTCTGCTGGCTACGCACGGCTGCCGTGGAAGTCACTCGCAAGCCCCCTTCGTGAGCCAGGGGGCCGCGCCAAGGCGCAGAGCAACAACAACCACAACAACAAACTCACGAGCCCCTCCCCAGCAGTGGAGGCAAGACAATTAGTGTAATGTGCTGCTGCTCCTGCTGCTGCTGCTGAGCGGTTGCAGAATGCCGGCGAAAGCGCTTTTCTCTCCGGGATCCGATCGCCCTCTGTGCGGATTAACTCGGGTGAGTGACCCCCCCCCTGCCCTGCGGCGCCTCCTCCTCCAACTCATCCTCCAACTCATCCTCCTCCTCCAACTCATCCTCCTCCTCCAAATCATCCACCTCCTCCAACTCATCCTCCAACTCATCCTCCAACTCATCCTTCAACTCATCCTCCCCCTCCTCCTCCAACTCATCGTCCACCTCCAACTCATCCTCCTCCTCCAAATCACCCACCTCCTCCAACTCATCCTCCAACTCATCCTCCAACTCATCCTTCAACTCATCCTCCCCCTCCTCCTCCAACTCATCGTCCACCTCCAACTCATCCTCCTCCTCCAAATCATCCACCTCCTCCAACTCATCCTCCAACTCATCCTCCAACTCATCCTTCAACTCATCCTCCCCCTCCTCCTCCAACTCATCGTCCACCTCTAACTCATCCTCCTCCAAATCATCCACCTCCTCCAACTCATCCTCCTCTTTCTCCCGTTCCTCCTCCCACTCATCCTCCTCCTCCTCCAACTCATCCTCCTCCTCCAAATCATCCTCCTCCCACTCATCCTCCTCCAACTCATCCTCATCCTCCAACTCATCCTCCTCCCGCTCTTCCTCCTCCTCCAACTCATCCTCCTCCTGCTCCCGTTGTCCGCGGCTCTCCATCTCCCACAGAGCGACTGCAGCAGCAGCAGCGCTCGCCAGGAGGGAGCGGTCTCGCGCGCGATGCTGCGTCGAGTCGCGGAATCAACTCGACACGCGATCGATCGATCAATCGATCGATGCATCGAACCGGCGCCTAAAGAATCGACGCCGACCGTGAGGACGCGGCGTGGGAACACCTCGGGTCGAGGCCAGGGGTCTGCAACCTGCGGCTCTTTAACGACTTGCTGCTTCGTGACGTGATTCACATCGCTTTGAAATACAACGAATTATACACACAACGCCAAACAGACAGACCGAGAAATACAATACAAAACAGACAGAACTAAGATGACAGGTAACGCCAACCAGACCGACAATATCCGCCTCCTCGTGCATAATCGTTTGCGGTTATCGAAACGTCGCTGGGAGTGAGGATTTAATCACAGGAGCCGCGGTGGGTTCGTAGCGCGACAAACATGCGGACTTCAATTCTCACCTGCCACGGCCGACATCAATCAGTTGCAAGGTGTTATTTGTACTCAGTAAAACATTTATTTCTGGCAAAAAGCCTCGGGGGGGGTGTGGGGGGTGTTGGAGAATCTCGTTTGCGAGGGTGCTCGGTGTCTCTACGCAGAACCGGCCCTAGACCTTTGGGGGCCCTAAGCAAAATTTGGTTGGAGGCCCCTTTGATGTATGATTTTTTTCACCCACTAGCCAGCAGTGACTCTAGGGGGCTCTCTGCTGGCCACGGGGCCCTTTGCAATTGCAAGGGTCGCTTAGGGGCTGGGCGGCTCTGTCTCTACGCCCTCCGTCTCCAGCGTGGTGCAGTCCGGTCAAAAACGAGCACGATGACCGACACGACGTGGGGTGCGGAGGGTGGAGGGGACCTTCATCCAGCAGCGGATTATTTTGACGGCAGGTCGGGCCAGCCGCAGGCGCTTGGGAAAATTCGACACACAAGCGGAAGCTGGGGGGGGGGGGGGGGGGGGTCAACAGCTTGGCGCTTCGTCCATCAAGGGTGGAGACTTTCGAGTGCAGTGCCATTGTGAGATGAGACCCGCGCCCGCCGCACGAATGTGGAATTTCCACCGCCGTCGTGGGGGGGAGGAGCTGGAAATAGGCGAGGTCGCCTGTTTGAAGGGAAGTCCACGTTCACGATCGATTCTTCGCAATGACGGCGGTGAAGAGGTTTTAGTGGGTGGATGGGTTTGGAGACTGGGGTTGAACGTGTGCCCTGAAGGCATGGGCAGAGGAGAAATTGCGCTTTCAACGGCAACATTCGGTCTTAAACGAGGCCACGACCGATTTAATTACCGTGATCTCATGACCAGCTTATGATTGTCCGAGCTACGTGGGAAGGCGGAGGAATCGGCAAGTGTTTAGAGAATCAACACCAGCGCCATCACCCATCCTCAACAGCCAACAACCACCACACCACCAACCATGGAGCAGCATCGTTGACCCATACCTAAGAGGGGTCCTGGTCTTAAGCACTTGGCAGTTCACCAAAATTGGTTGAAGTTCGACTGGGCTGGCGAGGCACTTAAATGTCGAATGCGATCCAGAGTTTGCTTGTGATCAGTGCCGGATAATCCTCCTAGCAAAAGTAGCTACTTACGCTACATGTGTAGTAGCGACATATGTAGTAGCTGCATGTGTAGTAGTAGCCGCATGTGTAGTAGTAGCTGCATGTGTAGTAGTAGCTGCATATGTAGTAGCTGCATGTGTAGTAGCTACATATATAGTAGCTGCATGTGGAGTAGCTGCATGTGTAGTAGCTACATATATAGTAGCTGCATGTGGAGTAGCTGCATGTGTAGTAGTAGCTGCATGTGTAGTAGTAGCTGCATGTGTAGTAGCTACATATATAGTAGCTGCATGTGGAGTAGCTGCATGTGTAGTAGCTACATATATAGTAGCTGCATGTGTAGTAGTAGCTGCATATGTAGTAGCTGCATGTATAGTAGCTACATATACAGTAGCTGCATGTGGAGTAGCTGCATGTGTAGTAGCTACATATATAGTAGCTGCATGTGGAGTAGCTGCATGTGTAGTAGTAGCTGCATGTGTAGTAGTAGCTGCATATGTAGTAGCTGCATGTGTAGTAGCTACATATATAGTAGCTGCATGTGTAGTAGTAGCCGCATGTGTAGTAGCTACTACATATGTAGTAGCTACATAATGTAGTAGCTACGGGCCCCGCACTTCCAAGGGCCCCGCGCTAAATGCTTTCAAGCTGTCAATTGCGGTTCAGTGATTCTGCACTTGCTCTATTACTATAGTACTATACTGCCTTCGACTTTTATGAACGACTGGGTGTTTACGGTTAGCGATTTGTCGTATTGTGGTTGTATAGAAAATGAAAAAATACAATTAACGGTACTTTACTATGCAAGTGGAAAAAAATTCGTGTTTTAATATTAGTTTTTTATTTATTTAGGCCCCCTTTAATAAGATGTGCTACAGGCCCCGCACTAGCTTAATCCGGCACTGCTTGCGATGAACCAATGCTTCCGAAATGCCACTCCGAGAAGGCCGCGCGGGTGATGGGATGTGCAAAGTGTCGCGTGGAGACGCAAATGCGCCAGGGCCACGCAACTGCCCGTGCATCGACACCACATTACAACTCGCATTCAAGCGATTCAACAAGAGATGGACGCGCGCGGAGTCGTTGGGTGGCTTTTGTATAAAATGTTTATTGTATAAAAGTCAGTAAAGTGCTCGTAAACAACACAAACGGCGGATTGGCGCGGCTGTCAGTCACGGCGAAGCGGAGCCCCGCAGAGCCGCCGCCGCCACCACCACAACAACCTCTGTAAACACCACCCCGCGACGCGTCTGCGTGTTGAATGCTCTGCCTCGCTTATCGTGCTTCATACTCCACCCACATCGCGCTCGCTCGCTCTCTCTCGCCCCACGTCCTTCGAACTGTGTCGTTGGAGCGAAGACGGGGGAGGGAGGGGGGGGATAATTAAACGTGAATTTGACCAAATTTTTTTTTATTTCCCGAGAAAGCCGAGCGGGGGGGGGGGGGGTCCGGCACCCAAATAAACTCTCCCCTCCAAAAAACAAAGCAGGGAGGGTCGAGGCGACGGATGCAGGCCCCGCACGACGCTCACCAACAACATCACGAGAGAGACCAAACTTGGGAACGGTGAAGGGGCCCGGTTGTTCGGGGTGGAACACCCTGGGTCAATGAGGGGGGGGGGGGGGGGGAGCACTAACCCTAGCCACACTGGCTAACCAGACCCTACATCTACCCCCCCCCCCCAGACTCTAACCAAATTAACTACCATTGCCACTCGCTACCCCTTACACTAACTATGCTAGCCACTGAAACTACAACCCTATACTCTACTCTTAAACAAAACTAGCCAACCCAGACCCCGATAGCCCTACCCCTAATACCAACCACACGAGCCAACTAATCGGAGCCTAAAACTACGAGCCATGAGCCGAAAGGACCCCAACCCTACCCCTGAACCACACCGCTAGTCAACCAGAACCCCGACCCACAAGCCCTACCCACAGACCTCTAGCTCACCCCAACCGGACTCCACCCCCGCCCGTCCCAATTTCCCACGTTCTCTCTGCGTTTCACTCTCGGATGCTCAAATGCGTTTTTTTTTACCTCCCTCACTTTTTTTTGTTGGGGGTGAGGAGAGGGGGGCAAAATTTTTTTTATCATTTGTAAGAAAACCAAAAAAAAGTTCATTCAAAACCCGCCGGGCAAAAACGTCACAGCCATCGTACGGCACCACGAAGAGCCCGTGACGACGACGACGACTTCGGCTTGCATTAGTTTCACACCCCGCGCCTGGCCTGGCCCTGGCCTGGCCGCGCGGGGCACGGAAAGCGCGTGCGAGGGCCGCACTCGGGCAGAGGCCTCGGACGCCACCCTCCCCCTTCTCTCCCTCAAACAACTTGGGAAGTAGTTGGGGCTTTGCTACCCCCCCACGCCCCCCCACCCAGCTATCAGTTCGACTTCTCTTGCACCTCGCTCGACACTGGTTTCTGTACGGCGTCTTGACAAGATGGGGGGGGGGGGCGACTTGCATGTAGACGCCATGCAAAAAAATCCACGCTGTGTTGTACAAGTCGGCACCCCCACCACTTTAGCTTCTTTAGGTTGGCACCACTGCCGGCATCATCGCGCAAGACACCCGCCCCCCCTCTCCACTCCCATTTCGGGGGGGGTCGGGGGGGAGTCTCCAAGGCAGCAGAGGAACCCTCGCCCTGCATCACAACGGCTCCACAGAAGTTGATGTCAAAGAGCTAGTTTCGAAGTCGCTTAAATTGCCTCTCGCACACGGGAGTGTCTGTCGCATGCCAAATCAACGGTTACTCCTCAAGCGCTGCAATCTTCGCGAGGATTAAAAATTGGCAACGCAAATTAAGCAATGGGAATTCTGCTCAAATCATTCGTCATCAGGCAGACGCTTTCAAACTCTACACGCTTGAGAACCCAGTTTAAATCGCAGCAGCGGTGGTGGTAGCCACGCGAGGTTGAACGCGTGCCGATTCACCAGGGTAGCGGAGCTTGCAAGCACCACGCAGGCTTAAGCGCTGAAAGCGGCTTGGGAGGATGCGCATAGCGCTTCTTAAAATGCGCGTGCGCGCACGCATCGATGGCTCCCGATGTTTGTCAAAAGCCAAAGTGATCTCCCTGCTCAACTTGAGCATTGAAGGCCGGGTGCTTCTCTCGTCACAGCTCTGAGCCAGGAGTGGAAATTCCACGTTCCTATGGCAAGGGCACCCACCAGTGATCTTCCCCACACAATGGCGTTGGGCCGAGTCAATCTCCCCAGGCAGGATGTGAACTCGCAGCGAGCTTCCTCGAGAGCGCGCCGCTCGCTCTGCCGCCCGAGCTTCCACCTGGCCGCATGTCCACGCCCGAGTGTGGGTCCGGGTTCTGTGCAGCGATGAGACTCTGTTACCGTGGAACCGACCACAGCAGCATTCCAAACAGTTCTGAACTATCGTCACGTACACACGCGCACGCTGTAGTCTATTTAGTCTTATCGACTCTTGGGGCAAGTGATGTTAGCGAGTACCTACTAAGGCCGGCAACGTCACTTGACAGGGGTGGCCAGAACCACTTCTGGCCACCTTTGTATTCCCAGTGCTAATGTTCACACACCACAACACATACTTAAGGCTGCGCTGAACTAGGGCAGGGTACGCACTGGTTTCACTGCCGATGTGCGTGGCCAGGAATCGAACCCAGGTTTACCGCGCCATAGCTCAGCGTGAGCAGCGTTGCCTCATCACTGCCCACACACATTCACAAACACACACACACACATTCACAAACACACACACACACATTCACAAACACACGGGCGAGCCGGGTAGAGACTGGCTCACCAGAATCATCATCCCCGCCAAGTCTCAGTGTCTCGACATCACGAGGCCACCCGCTGCCGAGACAGCCACAGAACCAGCCCGAGGCCCGCGGCAACACAAATCACCAAGCTCGCCGGCAAAGCAATCGTCCAGCCAAGTCACACCAGCCACGTCAATGGCAGCACAGCTTTACGTGTTGGCAGGAAGCGATACAAATTGTCCGCGTCATTTCGTAGAGACCCCTTTTGTCTGGGAAAGCCTCGCCACCGAACTCGCTTTCCGGAGGGCCTTGCCTCGCGACGCGCGGCCGATTACTTTTCAAACGAGCGTTGCGCGCACGTGGGATTTAAACCGCAGGTAACCCAACTTGCACACCTGCAGGACAGCGTGCAAAAAAACGTCCGCAGACCGAACGGCCAATTGCTGCGAAGGCGGCGGCGGCACAGCAAGCGGGTTTGCTGAACCGCCGTCAATTTTTTTTTTTGGCCACCTCGGAAGCCCGGTGGGGCCGGCGTAGTCGCCGCACGCGACAATCTCCGTGGCGGCCGCGACCGAGACGCGGCTTGCTCTCGGGAGAGCCCGCGACGGCGCCAATCGGCCCTCGGCGCCATCGCCGCGAGCCGAGGGGGGGGGGGGCACCACCGCGCCCGGTGCCCCCCCCCCTCTCTGCTCGCGGCGAGGGCACCGCGCGTCCCGCACGCGCCATTGCATAGGAATGTCACCGCCCGGAGCGCGAGCCAGAACAACGGGGATGAGCGAGCGTCCTCCGGCCCAGCCCACGCGCCGCCAGCGAAGCGCGATAACGACGACGACGACAATAATAATGCCACCACTCTCCTCTGCTCTCGGTGCTCACGGTTTACGTTGCGCGTCTCTGCGCGCGAGCAAAAATCTAACTTTAGAACATCCGGAGAGAGCTCGTAAAATAAAATATCGAAAATTATAACACTTAAATTTATAGCCATACTTTGTTTGGACTGATATATATGTAAAAAAAAACACAAATTATGAAAATAATAATAATGGTTTTGACAACAAAAACGAACCCAGCGTCGTGGTACTGGGGGGGAGGAGGACTCACAAGGGGCCACGGGGGCGAGGGCGATCACACCGCGGCCAAGAAAACACCACCACAAATGGTCAACAGCTGGCTTTGTATTAACGGCGGAGCGAGCACCTCTACGCTGTTGACCACAGCGCGGCACTGGAGCCAGGCCTCCGAGGCCCCAGGGGGAAAAACACAAACGGTGAGCAGCTCAAAACCTCGGCCGGCTCCGTCATCGTTAGCTTACCCCAAATATAATTTTATATAATTAGCACGCAACCTCTCTTTCATCTGTACAAACTCTAAACGCCTCTGCCATGTTTTTCTCAAATCAAGACAAAGTTTCCGCTTGACAATAACGAGCGACTATTTTCCACACAGAGCCGCCTCGCCGCACCTACCATCTGTCAGTTTGCCCCCAGTGGCATCTTGGCACAATTTTATTTTTTCCTTACGAGGTCCCTAGGCCCGGAACTTGAAAGCCAAGCTCCCTAACGCCGCCACGTCCGGTGGCCTCGCTCTGCATTAAACGAGAATCACCGCTGGCACTGGGTTGGGAGGCTCTGACCCGAGCCATCTCCCTCTCCTCCGCCAGAGCGCTGCCTTCACGATGGTGGGGAGGGTAGGAGGGGGGGCGGTGGTATTAAAGCTCTGAGCGCAGCGCCGGATAACGAGACGACGAAACTCCGGGGGAGGTGGAAACTTCCATGTGCAGACCCCAATCAAACAAAAGGCACAAACCCAAAGAAGTGCTAGACCAGGGGGGGTGTCAGTGCCACAATAAATTCATTAATTCAAAACGCAAACTGCGGGAGTGGAAGGTTGGGGGGGGGGGGGGGGGGGGGGGGCTAGGAATTGACGGCCACGATGCCGTGCCGGGCCAGACCCGGGAGGAGAAGCCGCCGTGCTAAGAGGCTACCCCGACCAGACCGAGCGCCGCATCGTGCCGCAGCGGAGGGCCGCCGCGTTGCTGCTGCTCCTGCTCCTGCTGCTGCTGCTGCTGCTCGCCCCGCATGGACGCCCGGCGCTTGGCCAGCCGCGACTTGGACGGGGGGGAGAGGCTGAAGGGGCAGAACGGCCGCGTGGCCGGCGGCCGTGATAACGGGGGCCGGGATCTGGGGCTGCCGGGGAAACAGGCGCCCACCACCCCGCCCCACCCGTCGTCCTCCTCCTCCTCATCTTCCTCCTCCTCCTCGCCGCCGCGCTGGTCCAGCCGCCGGGTCACGGCGACGGCGTCGGCGGTGAACCGAGTGAGGTCCTTGGCGCTGGCGTTCCTGCGCGTGGGGGGGGAACGAAAGGCGGGCCCGTGAGAATGTTTTATTTAATAAAACGGCGATGGATTTTGGTTACTAAATAAAATTAAACGAACGGCACGAGCGTTGCCACTCGAGCACTACAATGGGGTGCCTGGTTGTCGTGCAGACCGGCGCCCGTCACAGCAATGTAGAATTTCTGGCGCTGGCTTGTTTATTATGGTGCCGTGGGTTCTCACCTGAGTAGAAGCTGCGGGGTGGACAGCGTCTGGCGAGGGGCGTCCTGCAGGAGACAAAGACAAACATCCCCACTTCAGCACAAACTCCTCCACGGGGGCACGCACACAGTACACACACACACACACGGCACACAGTACACACACACACACACGGCACACAGCCACACCACGCACGTACACGGTATGCACACACAGCACATGGCACATTAGCCATTTAGCGGTTTTTCTTTTTAACTCAGTTTGCCAAGGACTGGCCCAGAACGTCGAGCAGTCAACAACAAACAGCACCATCAAAGTTGCAATGGTAATAATTAAACCACTTTATCTGGACAGTTTAGCAAGGCTATTGTAAGAGACTGGTTAAAAAGACTACGTGAGGGTATTCCCAAGGGACAGCGAAGCGAGGGAAAGCAGCCGAATGGGAAGTGTTGCGACCTACAGTGTTGGTGGCTGAACAGTGTGGACGAGACAAAACGGTCAGTATCTTGTCGACCAAGTCCACAAATGGTGGCCGAGAAATAAACGAGAAGTTCACTGGAAGGTGTCAATCCGCTGCTGGATGAGGGCTGCCCCCCATGCCTGCGCGTGTGTGCGTGCGAGCCATCGTGCGCCGCTCACCCCAGCCACCCACGGGTGCCGCAGCACCTGCGCGGCGCTGAGCCGGGCCTTGGCGTCGGGCAGCAGCAGGTGGGAGATGAGGTGCTTGGCGGCAGCCGAGACGTTCTTCCAGTCCTTCTCTGGGAAGCAGTAGTGCCCGGCCTGGATGCGCTCAAACAGCATCGTCTGCGCGCACACGCACACCAGACACGCAATGCTGTGGGCAGGGCCGCTTGCGATTCCAGGACGCGCGCACACACACTGCACCTGATACAAGTGTAAAGCAGTTAAGGGGGTTGATGATCCAGCACTCGGATTAATTCCACTCATCAGCGGTCAACCACCTCCGTTCCCGTCTGTCGCTGCTATCATGGTTACCGTTCCCCACGAACTTCACCCGTTGATTCCTCCACCCATGTTGAAGACTCAGGTCTACCAGACACCGTCCCCGTTTCATTTAACCTGCACTGCAGGTTAACAACACTACCCCTCGCTCACCCACCACACTGCAGGCGAGAACACTTTCCGCTTCCTCCTTTCGCTCTCGAATTCCATCCCATCGTCTGTTTTCACAAGCCATCGCAATAACCTTGCCCCGGTCACAAGAAGCGTGCGAATCGCTAACCATTACCATCTCCACCCACCCGTACACACACGCACGCGCAGGCCCGTACCTGGCAGGCGTGGCACGCCTCGCCGTGCTCCCAGCCGCAATCGCTGCCGCAATTCCCGACGAAGGGCGGCGAGCCGCTGAGCATGATGTAGAGGATGACCCCGAGGCTCCACAGGTCGCAGCGCTTGTCGTAGATGGAGGCTTCCTCGCTGAACGCCTCCACCACCTCGGGGGCCATGAATTCTGCAGAGCCACACTGCGGGACCCAACGGCACATCGTCGCCGTGGTTACTCATCGGCCCACCGGGATTCTCTCCCCACATCGCCGGCATTTACGGATGGTCGTCGGTAACATTTCGGCCGGCGACAAACAACCACGGACGCACCACCGCAGACACACGGGCTGTTACACCACCACCACGCAAATCCCACCACAAGCAGCAAGCACAACAGATCAGAATCAGAAAGGGGTTTTATTCGCCATGAAAGTTCGCGCAGACAAGGAATTTACTTTGGCCGGAAGGTGCATACATTCAACATAGAGGAATCTTAAATCTTAAATAAGTATAACCCGTAAAAACAAAGTTTTTCACTCTAAATCCTTTATATGCGTGGCGGCTAGAGTCCTCTCGTCCTCTGGCTTGAGATGGCTGCCACCTATGGGTCAGATGATTGTCTGCAGTATTAAACAATTGGTAATTAAATATTTAATTTGTTTTCCCTAAACAGTGTAAAATTTTGGAATTTTTTCACGAACATTAATTGTCTCGCACAACGAGTCTGTGTGCAAAATGTCAGCTCGATTGGATCACGGGAAGTGGGTTAAAAAACGACCGAAAGGTTTGCACGGTCCTAAGCAAGCAAGCAAGCGAACTTAATATAAAGGATTTAATAAGTGATTCCTCTCGAACCCCCAGCCCAGGCAGCATTCCCACGGTGCGCGCGCGTGGGTTAGCGCTGCGAGCTGCGAGCCGGCCGCTAGGCGGCGTGGGGGGCCCATCTTTGCCGTGTGGCCGGCTGGTGCCCGCGCGTCACCGCACCGACCGGCGCGTGGGGAGGAAACGGAGCCAGCCGCCGCAGTCGGCTTCCAAGCAGCGCGACAACGGCCCGGAGCTCAACGCTTTTAAGAAGCGGTTGCTCAACTCGTGCACAGCAGCCACACTCATCCCGCTTTAAAAATCTCCGTGGGGAAGGCGTCGAGCCTGCAGATTGGGCCCCTGTGCAAGCTCAAACAATTCGAGCTCCTGCTCGCGGCGCTCGTTAGCGACGATGCCGTCGTGGCGAGTTTAGTTTTTACATCTTCACGAAAAGAGTTTGCGAGCGCTCGTCGATTGGGACAGGCCTTGGGGCAGGATACGTCGCCACGGGGATCAAGCCCAACGGAAGAGTGGCCACGCGCGGACGAGTTCGAGAGGACATCCACCGTTGAGATGGAGTGATTAAAATCGACTAATGTGCAAGTTCTAGTGAGCATTGAGTCTCAAATAAATTTACTCTGTGCGTGCCAACCTCGTGTCCTTTCTAGAAAAGGCGTAAAATAAAAAACCCGGCACTTCCTTCCAACGGTGCCCACTTCCCCCCAAGCATGCATACACACAAAAGACAAAGACCCCACCCCGTATAGTCTTAACAGCCTCTTGGGGCAAGTGCTGTTAGTGAGCACCTATGAAGGGCAGCACGGTACACGAGGGTTGTGGGTGGCAAGCACCCTGCCCGACCGCCTTTGTCTCCGGAGTGGCAATGTTTACAGCAGACCAGGTACTCGGAGGCTCAATCAACCAAAGGGAGGCCCAGGACCGGTTAATATAATCGTCACTGGTTTTGGCCGCGAGTGGGAGTCGAACTCGGATGGCCGGGTTCTTAGTGCAGTACGCTAACCACTGCGCCACCGCTCCCCACACAGACACACGAGCATGAATGCAGCGGTGTTTGCGAGGCTTCCCTGTGGAATGGGGAACTCTCGCTGTGGTTTGTGTTTGCGGCTCCGAGCGGACGCTGATCAGTGTTCATCTCGTTTATAGATTCCGGTACGAGCCAGAGAACTCGCACACGCACCCATCCTCACCACACTCACACCAATCCCTCCTTCCCTCCCCACCACACTCACGCTAAACAACCATCCCTCCTCACAACATATCCTCACACCCATCCCTTCCCACCACACTCACATAAACCGCGACAAGTGCGGTGAGCAGGCCCCTATTAAGGCCAACAGCACGTGGGGATTGCGATGCTAGCACAATGCCTGGTCACCTTTGTATCCCCACCCCCACCCCCCGCGCTGACGTTCACACTTCGCAGCAGTGGATACTTTTCAAGCTGATTAAACTTGGCAAAAGGGCCCGGATAAAACGTGTGACCAATGCGAGCCTTAGCCATTCGCGTACTGGAAATAAACCTACCAGGAGGCAAAAAGAAACGCACACAGCCACACACAGGCATGCTAAACACAGAGTGCACATAACGGCCATGTAACAGGCCGAAGTGTTGTTTACTTATCTTCGTTGTTTAGTTTTTTGGCCGCAAAACTTTTTTTACACAAACTTCCATCACTGGCTCCACACAGACTCGCCCAAGCCCTTTATCCCCCTACCCTGCCCTCACCCCAGTCCCTGTTCCACCCACCCACCCCGCTCAGCCATCTGTGCCCAGAGCAGAATCCCCTCCCACTCCTCCCCCCACCAGCAGCAGCAGCAGCAAACACAGGCCACTTGCCCGCCCTCCTGCTTCGACCATCCAATCAGACGCGCTCGCTGCGAGACACAACAGCGCAGCTGCCAGGACGCACGTACTACACAAGAGCACACACACACATAGCTCTGGTTCAATCCGGCTGAGATCCAGTCACATCCCAAAGTTTCTCTCCCTCCCCCGTCAGCCCTCACCCCCCTCTCCTCAAGCTGCACGACCAACAATTCAACTCCCGGCCTCCACACAATGCCTGCGGCGTGCGCACTTGCTGGCACAAGTGCCGTGTTGGCGAGCGCCTACCAAAAAAGGCAATTGTGGCGTACGCGATGACAGCGGTGTGGCCAACATCACGCCCGGCCGCATTTGTCTCCCCACCGTTCACGTTTACCCACTCGTTTTAATGCCCGAGTTGACCCAGGAAAAGTTAAATTACATGCCGCCGATGTAGCCGTGGCCCGGACTGGAACTCAGGCCTGCAGGTACATTGTGCAGTAATTAACTATTACACGACTTACCCTCCCCCCCCCCACCTCCCTGCACAACTTAATGCCAACGCAGCAATTGACCGACTCCCATTAAATCCTTCCACAGCCACCCCCACGCATCTCCCCCACCCCTCCTCCCTCTCTCCCGCTCTCCCCTGCCTCACCCTCCCCATGGCCCTAGCAGCAGATGTTGCGTATTAACGCGACGGGGAAACAAAGAGAGGGGCGCCTGCACAGCTTGCGCATGAGCCGAGGGCTCGTGCGTCACGAGCCCCCTGTGAACGCCTCCCTGTGCTATGCAACATTCCTACAGAAACAAAATATGTTTTTCTCCAGCCAAAGCTATCGGCCATTGGGCGGCTCACAGGGTGCGAGGGAAAAGTGTCGAGTTGCGTGTAACCGCGGCCTTGACTGAGACAACGCAAATCCCAGAGAATGTTGCGCGACAGCCTCCCATGATGCACTGCTGCCGATTCACAAAGCTGCGCATTTCTAATTTAAATCTGTCAGTTTGACCGTTTTTCAAGGATTTGATTGACAAAAAAAACGCCCAAATAAACCACACGCAGCGGCACAACCCAGTGTCACAGAGCCACACAAACCACGAAGTTCTCCCTGTTGCCAACACGGGTTGCTGAGCAAGTGCGAGCACTTGCCAGCACGGTATGAATGTTGAACGTCTTTCACACCGCACGTAGTCAACCGTGCTAAATCGGGCAGTACACGAGGTGGACAGACACCACGACGACCAGGCCACCTTTGTTTCACCAGTGGTGCTGTTACACACAACAGTACACTCATTTATGACCGAGCCGACCTAATGCGGGTGCAGGAACAGTTGAAATATTCCTCAATGATATTGGGCAAGAGTGGGAATTGAACGTGCCTTGTCAGGCGAGTAGCAGTGCACTGCTAACCACTGCACTACCACTGCTAAACCACTAAATACACACACCCACAACCAAGCGACACACACGCACACAAAGACGCAGAAGTGTGATGGTTGGATGGAAGGGATGGTGGCGAGGGTGGCGCGGGTGGGAGGGGTGCGTGTGCTCACCGGGGTGAGCAGCTCGGGGGTTGTGACGGGCGAACAGGCACTGCTCAGCTTCATGCTGCTCCCCAGGTCAAAGTCACAAATCTTGACGGGCGAAACCTGCGCCCAGGAAACGTGACAACGACAACGCGCAGGAGGTGAACAACCGGCAAGAGCAAATCGACAAGACCGGGGCGCGCACAGATGAACCACCTGCGTGCCCCATCTCCCAGGAGAGGTCAAATTTGGCATCGGCAAGTGGAGCAGCCGGTGATCGCTGCGATTGACGGTGGCGCCCAAACGAGCCGCTCTGCTACAGACAGCAGCCACGCCAACGAGCCGAGGCCGCGCCTTCCTCGCGGGTCACGCACTGCGGCCGCGTGGTCCAGGCTGTCACGAGTATAATTATTATTATTATTATAATAAAACATCAAGTCATGGCTTCGCGAGAGACTTGGCACCCTGGTGACACCACATTGGTGCGATGTTTGCAAGGCGTTAAATTTGCGAACAAGAGACCGCTTGCTGCTGCTGTGGTTTTGGTCAGGTTAGAACCATCCCACCAAACAGCAATCTGGCAAAGGCAACCGCGGCGCTAGTGGGCAGACGACCGAGATGAAGTTGGTGGTGGTGGCACGTGCATGGAGATTAATTATGATTATGCTGAACGACCAAAGAAAGGCGCGCAGCTTTAAGGCCAAGATTTTTCCAGTCGGAGGCGATGTTGCTATGTGCAATCCCAGAGGAAGCCAATGCAGAACAAGGGGGAGAACGTACAAACACAAAGGCACCCGAGTTGGGAACTGAACTCACGCGTGTTACCACTGTGACCCTCTGCCCTCGGAAATACAGAACCATGGGCCAAAAGACGATTTGTGATGACGATTGCAAAGTGAAGTTTGTGCCCGACAGTCGATTTAAAAGTTTTAAAGGGATCTTGAACCAAGGACACAGGCTGGGTGTGTGCGGCTACGAGCAGGACGATGGCCGGTTGTGTTTGTACGCGATAGCCGAGCGCGTACCTGGTGGGGATTTTCGCACAGAATGTTCTCCGGTTTGAGGTCACGGTGCGCAATTCCTGGAAACAAGAGCGACGGGGAACGGAACATTAAAATAACATTTTTGTTGCAGGGTCAGCATGGTCAACAAACAGGTGAGAGGTCGACAACGTCGGGCGAATGAGGTTTTGAAAAAGCGACAGCCTTGTGTATCTCCCCCCCCCCCCCCCGCCACCCCAGTCCACACTGCTCCAGTTGAATGACTCTTGGAACAACGACAGTACGAGCTTTGCCCTCCACGCTCTTCTCTCACTGCTGTATTATCAAAATCATCGACTCTCCACGCTTTCTCTCTCGCAGACCAATCATGGCAAAATGGCTTCCACGTCACACTGACAGTCGCTCAGCGACTTGCGAGGGCACTTGAATGTCGCCGTCTCTATCCACACTACAATGCCACATCACCTTCGCTCTCTATGGAGTGTCGGTGACATCACCACAGCGCTTGTGCCAGGCTAGATGCACTTTGAGGCCACAATAACTCAAAAATACTCACCCACCCTGCTCACCACACTGCAGGTCTCACACCATTTCTCTTCCTGCTTCTACCCTCACCACTGCTCACTTTGGAATTCCCTCGAATAGTGACTGGGCTGAAACCATCAACTCCCTACACAAAAGAACCAGATTCATTTCTTCATCAACCTCAGAGTGATGGGCTGAAATTGTAATCGTCACCTTGAGTCAACATCTGTTAAAATCGGGTGAAACTCTCAAAACGTCTAAGCTGCGAGGTAGCCAGCAGCTGGCAATGAAGAAAGTTGAGGGTGGCACCCAATCCCACAAGGATCTTAGGAGGCATCCATGCACACTCCAAGGTGATGTTCTTTTTCTTCCTCCAAGTTCTCTCAGCTTTCCTCGTTTAAAAGAAGCAATCGGCTAAACATCGAGGGCAGGACCCTCCTGAAGGACTCGGCGAGACGTACCCTTCTGGTGCAGGAAGTGGAGGGCGGTGGCGATGTCGCGTACCACCTCGCTCGCCTCCTGCTCGCTGAAGTGGCCTCGGCGCTGGATTTGGGCCAAAACCGTTCCTGCAGAGGAGGCCGCACAACCAGGCAACGCATGAACACCACTTGCCACCACGTGTTGGGTTTCCACAGCCAATATTTAGGGCTATTGCGATTCAATGGACTTTTTGGCTGGAATACATGATCTTGCGTCATGTAACGCGCCACCACCAAACAAAGTACATTGTCAGCCCAAAATATTTTTTTTCAACTCAACAGTAAGTTGGGAGCACACTAACAATTGGCACATTAAAACGCTTGCGCATATTTTTATATGTTTGGCTGTCGGGTGATCAAGGGTTACAAGACAAGAATGTGGCCATATAATTAGACGGCCAGAGCCAAAAATAGGATACGAATCATGGTTTAGTTTTCATAAAAACTGCTATTCATGCAAATCGCATCTGAAAAACAGCGTACAGTTTGCAACGTGCGCAGTTCCTACGCGGAGGGGGTGGGGGAAACCAGGCGCACGCTTGGAACTGGTCACATATCGGGGCGAGTAATTTGCCAAGAATTTAGGATCCAATCTTTTTTTACATTTTGCCAACTCCATCAATCATACAGAACCGCTCTCTAGTTTTAACCACGCACAGCCGTCAGTTGATGCATTACGAATGCTCGCTCACCTCCTCTCATCTTTTCGAACACCAGGTAGAAGCGGTCGTCCTCCTCGAAAAACTCAATCAGCTGCAGGATGTTGCTGCCAAGACAACGTTTACAACATTCATATGGCGGTCGTAATCAAACGCAAGCAAACAAGTCGAAGCCATTTTCATGCTCAAATGAGCAGGGGCGGTGTGCTGCTTCTCTCTCACGTTTATAGCCCTGAGCCATTGGAGGATGTTCCACATTCCTATGGCAGGTTGCTAGTCCATCGGTAGAATACCGTTGACTTCCCAGTGTGGTAATAATTTTAATCGAACCCAGAGGAACGATGGGCTGAAATCAACCAAATCAACCCCCAACCAGGGATTTGAACTCACAACCTTCCCATTGAGAGCCACTCTCTACCACCGAGCCATAAACATTTGAATATAGCAATTATTTAAATTGGCACAGGAAAGCCTCATTCGAGTCTTAAGACTCTTTTGGGAGGGTGCTGCTCAAGGGAATTTTGACACCTTTTTTGATCAGGCATTTTAGTTTCAAAATGGGGCAAGCGGCATTTTTAAGTGAACAGCAATCAACACAAATGCAGGAATGTGGCAATTACATCAAGTGTCAGGCGCTGAAAAGCCGAGCTTAAATTTCGATTTGAAGCTTTCGTGACTGCAGGGATTCATCTTCTTGGTTCTTTCGGTAAAGTTACGCATTCCACAAGCAGTGACTAATCCCATATCTGCATTTCCATAAATATGCTAAATTCCTCTGTTGATATGCAAATTCCTTTGTCAAGGTGCTCTTCCTCCCCTAACCCAGCTTAAATATACACTGCCAAGCTTGGTGGTGTTCATTCAGACGCCGTCTTTCCGACAGACCTGTTCTTCACCTGAGGACGGCTGCTTGCGTTGTGGTCGAAACGTCGTGAGACATTCAGACGCTGTCTTTCCGACAGACCTGTTCTTCACCTGAGGACAGCTGCTTGCATTGTGGCCGAAACGTCGTGAGAATTGTATTTTATTATGTTTTATTTTATTTTATTATTTCCCTTCTACGTGACTTTACCGAAAGAACCAAGAAGATGAAGCCGAGCCTACCGCAGGAGAAACTGTGCATATTAACGAGGGGGTGTTAGCGGAAACGGTGACGGAGGATGATGATACGGTCAGTGTAAAGATAAAGATAGCAACAGGTGATGCAAATTCAAGCGAGATTTATAAACCAAGCGTTGACATGGGGATTTTCCGGCAACCACCACCGCCACCAGGTCATCGTTATAAAATCAACCAAGCCAGAGTGATGCAACACTCACTCATTGCCTTGGCACTGGTACAAAATCTCCACTTCCTTAAACACCCTATTTCGGCTGTGCCCTGCTGTCTTCTCAATGACCTGGAAGCACAGGGGAGAAAAACGCAAGCTTCGTCACAGCGACTCGCTCACACCGCGCCTATGTGCCAACCCCCTCCCCAGATGCCCACGCTCCTGCCCACCCGAACCACACAATTATATTCCGACTGGGCTATTATTATCCTGCAGCGATCAAAGACATTTCCATGAGATAAGAAGTTTACATTCGTCGGGGAACGGCTCCCAGTAGAGGGCATGATGGAACTAGTTATGGAGGTAACTTCACAATTGGCCCTTTTACCCACATGCAAGACAAGACCGCTCTAAAGATAACTTTCATCATCACACGCCAATCAATTATAAAACACGAGCTAAACCAGATTTCACTATATTTGCCACAGTAATTCTCATCTGGTGACATAAACAATGATATTTCACTCACAGCCAGATTCCAGTTAAACAACATTGAACGTCATCATTTGTGCAGTTATTGGTGACCTCAATCGTGATGGAGGCACCGTCCCCCCACGCACGCCTTGCATTCGAGGCGTTTGGCCAAAGTGAATGAAACCAAGTTAATGTGTTGATTTGTCGCCATCGGTGACAGAGCCGTGACTCTGAACTTGCTCAACTCAACACCACGGCTTAAAATCACAGACTAAACCAGGATTCGAACTCAGGAACTTAATCCGGAAGGCTAGCTCCGTGTCCGTGACACGGCCGTTATAAACCTGGCCACCCATTCGGTCTTTCTATGGGCGGTTCACCGTTGTTTTTTTTACCGCACATCCAAGCAAACCCCAAACCCTGATAAATGTCACAGGCTCGCTGCGACGTTCGCAGGCGGAACGGCGCCACAACCACTCGGCTCTTCTCTTGGAGGAGCCGCCACACACCTCGGGCTGCATGTACCGGGCTACGGACGTGTTACCCCCCCCCCCCCGCCTCGCACGGGGTGGGTTTTCGTCGTCCCATTAGTGGAGTTGACCACACACATCTCAAATGGGGAATCAAGAGTTGTTTGGGCAATTGTTGGCAGAAGATAAATCGCTGCCTCCCCGCGCGTCTGCGATTTCCCCACGCTTGCGTACGAAAACTATGCACATTACAAATTCTAAAGCGCTTGGGAGGTGTGATTTACAAAAATAAAACATTACGTTTTTATTACATCTGGATTTACCAGCCACTTCCCTTAAATAATGAATGCCAGTGTGCATTCATTATACAAATCCCTTGCGCGTCACTAAACAAGTCTGGTTTCTTGTTAACCAGGAATGCAGCACAGGTTTCAAATTAAACGACATTGCTGCCGCACTAGAGAAACTTAAATAACTTCACCACCACCACCTACAACCGCTGCCCTTCAGCAAAATTCTATATTTGTAACAAACACAAATTTGGGGCAGCAGCACTTCCTGCAATGCAACGCCAACGTAAACGCTGACATTTTTATTTCAAGGACAAACGCCCACTCGGATAAAAACAAGCGCGCACACGTGCACCGATTGAAAAGGTAATTGTGTCCAGGCATTTCCAAAACATCCACGCGATTTCTAAGTCGACTCAACACGCCATGTACAATTTATTTCGCACCGTACGCGGCCATGTATAAAATAAGTACCACTTTGTGAAAAGTCAACGATAATTATTTTTATTCCTCCGAAAAGCCTCAATAACCCAACGATCAGAAGAGGCCTGCTCTGCATTGGAATCTTTGGCTAATTCCATGAACTCGTCTGCCTTCCATAGAAAACTCCACACTGAATACGAGAGATTTCCACTCTGCGTCGCATAGATGGATTTAATCTATTCTTGTAATTGCCGAGACCTGACCACCTCACAGCCCAAGCATACAACACCTGGTATTCCCAAACAACCTCCCATCCAAGTACGAGGCAGCTGTCGAGATCTGATGAGACCTGGCGCATTCAAGGAGATTTCATCGTATGCGTTGTGGTCAGTTATAAAGATCTGTGGGCAAATCGCCCGTAGGAGTTCACTGCACATTTTCATTTTTTTCCACTTTCCTTTGTCTTGTGCCAATATGCTCAAGTAGCGCACAACTTTCTGGCACCAATCTCGTGTCTTCATCAACGCATTCTCTGTTAGGTCTTCCTCTTTCCCGTTCCTTTAATGTTTTCCCGAACACACTTTACATTAATCCTGCCCCCCCCCCACCTCCTCCACTTCACACAAGAGTGCAGAAGTGTGGTCACCATATCTACACCTCTAGGAACTAAACAGATTTCTCCACAAATTTGTCTGTCGCCTGATGAAGCTAGTGGTAATTACTGGCGAAACGTCGTACTCAGATTGTAAATGTTGTGGATTTGCTCTCCAACACACCGGTGTGCTGTACTAGTGACAAATTAGCACGTTCTATTTACGTGACAACCCTTACTCGTTGGCCGTGTCGGGTTTTAACGACACATTTATACATTTACGCGATCCAACCCAAAAACACTCTATTATGGACATTTGACAAATATTCCTGTTGTCCATCCTATACGTGTCCAAATAGGTCTCCGTTTCCTTCTCATCACTGCCTGCATCAGGTCTTCTTCTATGTAGTGGTCACCACTGGCATGGGAATATAAAATTTTCCACCACCACCCTCAAGGTGGGCCCCCATTGTATTTTTTCAGCAGGGAGACCGAATGGACCGTGTGGGAGATGCAGCCTCGCTGTGTGCCGAGTAACAGCCGCCGAAGGGGCCTTAGGTCTGGCACCGATCCCTGATGATCACAGCATATCGGGTCGATGAACCCAGGAGTCGAGCATAACCCAGAACCACCAAGTTTTAGCTGAAGCCCTTCAGCAAAACCTGCCTCTCTGGAACTTAAACCTAATGCATACCTTTGTCAAGCCACTGCTGGTCTCCTCATGCCATCAGTCACAAGTGTTGTTTGACCATACTTCACCATGTTGGTCAGTGTCCGTTTGTGAAGGGGGGCACACCCTTGATTGGGTTAGGCATCACGAGCCACTGTTAAACGTGGCCGGGAACGTAACCCAGGGTCATAACGCTTGCAATAACCAGTGCCACTATTGCAATACTTAAAACTGTTAACCATGCATTTTTCCTTTGCTTCACTTTGTTTTTTTCTGCATTGCGTCATGGTTTGAATGTGCATGCTGCTGCTTCTGACCTCGTATCACACGGAGCCTTAATTTGCTTCGGTGCCCCAGGTCTCCCTTTAGAGACCTTTAATGCGTGCCCACAAATATCTTGCCAGTTCTCAGCGTTGGTTCGAGCCAGCCTGGCTCTGCCGATTATCGACACCAAATGTCAAAACATGGTCCATTTACTTGTACTGAAACAATGCTCATGAAATCATGTACTGTACTTCCAAAAGGCCGTATGGCTGCTGGGTTGTGTATAATAAAACGTATTTTCACGTGGACAGGGATGCTAAAGTGGCGATTTCCCCGCTAGTTTATTGCGACTTCAGAATTGCCCACGATGAAACCGATGGTATTTAGTCTCAAGACGGCTATCGCCGGGCATTAAAAATTATCCAGGTCATCTGTGCAGGGCCACGGCCTAACAAACCTCGCCCGCTCCGTCTCCTCTGCAGCGGAGGAACGCGATGAGCCAGTATCAGTGCGTCTGGCTGTTCTGGCAGCCAACAAACCCAACCATCAAGCGATTTCTCCACCCACCCAAAAGCACACAATTTCACCTTTTTCATCGCAACGCTTCCAGCGAGCAGCACACTCCCCCAAAAACCGTGTTGACATTGCTGCGGGGAAGCGTCTGCCACAAAAATAGAAACCGCGGTCCGCCCTTTGACCCCTCCCACGTCCGCCCCCTTGGGCCGCGTCTCGGCCAATCGGAGGCGGCGGCGAGGTGGGGTGATGAAGGGTGGCAGCAGTTGCGGCTGCCAATAGCAAGGGGACTTTAGCTCTGGTGACGCTGAGAGTTCAACTCGCGACTTGATTCGACCACGTGGTTGTTTTGATTCTAGATTTGAATACTCTTAGCTTTATTTTTTTACCTACGTGACTTTACCGAAAAAAACCTAAGAGGGTGATTGTTTTGACTCGGAAAACTTTCGTGACTGCGGGCATTCATACGAATTATTTATTTCGGGTAAAGTCACGCAGAATTTAAAAACCGCATTAGCACCGCTTGTGTTGCGATCGAAACGTCGTGGGTTATTTTTGTTTTAATGTTCTATCTACGCGACTTTACCGAAAGAACCAAAGAATAACAAGTGGTTGTTGTTGCCGTTCAAGCATGACGACACTCGGAATGTTGCAATGACGCCGCATTAGCAGGCCATTAAAAATATATATATCTTTAAAGCACTCGCAACAACTTGCAAATGTTACGGGCCGGAGTAGCTGAAACTCACTCATCTCCTGTCTTTATTTCTTTAGTATGCGAGTGACTGGCACAGCTACACCGTGGTGCGTGCGTTGTGTGTAGACACTCGGGAGGAGGGGGCCCTTCCTGACTACACGAGATGCGAATCCATCAAGGGATTTTCCAAGCAAAATATTTTTGAAAGTTTACCAAAAAAACCCCGAAGAGCATTCAAAAGGCGGTGGGGGTGCCCTTCCCCATCCTAGCAGTCCGCAAAAGCCAGGTCCTACGACTCAAAGCACTAATCGACAGTGGTTCCTATTTCACTAAAACTCACACCGATGAGAACGCGATGTGCCCCAGTCGATACGCCAAGGAGCCTCACACACACATCGCGCTACGCATTGACGTGAACCCCCTAACCCTGTCGTGTACAAAGACAGAGCACCCTGGGCAAGTGATGTTTGCGAGCACCTATTAAGGCAGGCACGGCACATGAGGGGGGGGTGGGTGGTGAACCACGTAGCCCTGTTGTGTACAAAGACAGAGCCCCCCACCCCCTGGGAAAGACATGTTTGCGAGCACCTATTAAGGCAGGCACAGCACATGAGAGGGGGTGGGTGGTCAGCACCACGCCCGGGCGCCTTTATCTCCCTAAGTGGCGATGTTTACTACACACCACTGCACCAGGTACTCATTTGAGGCCGAGTCGACCTAGGGGGGAGTGCCAAGGACCGGTTCAGGTAATCGTCACCGGTGTTGGCCACGAGCGGGAATCGAACTCTGGTCACCGGGGTTCATAGCGCAGCGCGCTAACCGCTACACCCACCGCTCCCCTTACAAAGACAAAATAACCCTCCCCCTGTATAGCCTTAACAGACTTGTCGGGGCAAGTGCTGTTTTTGCCAGCAGCACACCTATGCAGCCAGGCGCACAAACACACACACACACAAAGCCCACCCCACCACAGTACGTGCGGGCCAACATTGACTGCCTAAACTTTAACAAACGACCTGGACCACGTGGGTCACGTGGGCCCTGCACCCCCCCCCATGAGCAACTGGCAACGGCGAGCCGCGCACAACCGGATCACACCGGTCACGGTGGGTGGGGGGGGGTGATGGGTGGGAGGGGGAGGAGCTTCCCCTCCAGGCTCCACCGCTATTGGCCAGTGCCGCGTCACGGCAGGCCGCCGCTGTTGCCAGGCAGAAACAGGCGGACGAGGAGGGGGGTGGGGGAGGGGCGGCACTGGGGACTTTGGCCAATCGCGGTTGCAAAGGGGGCGGGGCTCCGGCACTCGCGCAGCCAATCAGCGCCGTGGCTCTGGGTGGGCGCGCGCACGCGCTGTGACACGTGGTCGGCACACACAGCCACCCATAGCAGCAGCAGCAGCACAACTCCTCCAATATTGAAGACCACCTCCCACTTTAAAAACAAAGTAAACAAAAAACTTCCCCCGTTCACATCCCATCCAGCCACACGGGCCTTCTGGGATTTGGTATCTCTTGCCAGCAACATTGGTTTTTGATAGAGGCAGACCGAATCGGTTTCAACATTTGGCTTCTCATGAGCAGAGTCAGGCTTGATTGAGCCAATGCTGGTGGACTGACAGATGATTGATGTCAACTCCCTCGCCTGGTATACAGGAGGTCGTGGGTTGGATCCCGACCCTGACGCCTGTTGTATATTTGGAGTGGTCGTGTATTTTTTTTTTTCCCCCACGTCCTCCGATTTTTCCCCTCCACATTTAGAAATCAACATGCGTTTAGGAGTATTTGTACTGCTATAAATGTCTACATAAGCCACTTCATTGAGCTTATCCATTTGTGGCCAAGTCGCCTCTAAAAAAAATAGCTACATAGCTCAGGTGGGCCTCACCTGTTGAAATAAAACAAAGTTTAGTTTATTTATTTAGCTTCAGCTTGACGGGTTACATTGCAGCCCTGCACACACGCGGCTTGTGTGAACGTGTGAACGGAGCCAAGCACACGAGAGCTGCAACTCGGATGCCCCTGGCGCGAGCGAATGTTGACGTGAGTGTTTTTCCGAGTGGGGTCATCCACAAGTCAACCCACCAACCAGCAGCCATGATCAATCTACTGCTGGATGATGGCCTCTACAAGCCGGTCGCCATCAAGATATCTGCCCCAGCCGAGTGAAAATGAGACCCAAAACTTAATTTATTTTTCAGGTGGTGCACAAGCGTAATTAACAAACTCACACTCGTCAACTGCACTGCTTAAAAGTAAAACAAAAGATGCATAAATTGGTGACGTTTCAGACAATGGCCTTCATTACACATTGCCTGTAAATGTTACCTAGTTTTTTTATTTTGCTTCGAAGGCAACAGTGGATTTGACGGACGTGATGATGATCATTTAAAAACACATTCTCAGGAGCTGGAATTCAAATGTGACGGACTTTCTGTGCAGTCATTTGTGGCTGTGCCGAGACCATCACCTCAGTCCATGCAAGTCTATGGGTCTCAATGCGAGTCTATGGGTCTCAATGCGAGACAGTTTTTCCTCTATGATGGTATTAGTTGTGTTTAAGGTAACAAAAAAACAAGCAACAGGTGGGCTGCGAGAAGACTACAGCCTCCCACTCACATTTGCCATTTAAGCTCCTGAACATATTGCCACTCAACAATAAAATGAGTCTATGGGTCCATGCGAGTCGGGGTTCTTGTAACACTGCTGCTGCTTTATCGACGAATCTGTTGAGTTTTGCTTCTCAAAACATCGCTAAATACAACACTGCATGCACCCAGAAGGAATGTACTTTCATACAAGACTATTTCTCAACTCAACGACACTAAACATGATGTTCTATCGTGCAAGGGGTTGATAAACAATTGCCTGGCTTACATAATACCACATCGCCACGGCCATTGGCTCCTCTACACGAGTCCCAACGTTACTGGGTGCAGTCTCTGGTCAAACGCAGAATGGCTTCAACATCCAGGCCCACTCATCCCTTCTCCAGGGTGCTATACTTCTCCCGGGGAATGTACGTACGTGTGCGCGTGTGCATGCGCGCGTGTGCATGCGCAAGATGTGTGGTGTGCAATGGAAAAACACAAATCCCATCCAGCAGACGAGCAACTGTTGCCCAGTGCGGCCGATTCTGCCCCTCAAGGGTTGACCTCTCATCCCACCAGCGTGCAGGAAAATGCTAGCTGTTATCTGCAGTTATCATCGTTCACAATGGAAAGTAGGTGGGTGTGTACGTGCGTGTGTACATGTCGTCTTTGTAGGTACGTGTGTATACACACACTTTTTGCAAGAGTATTGGAGGCTTCACAGGGGATCTTTGTTTAGGCATTGCACAACAAATGTGTCAACTTGAGTTCAATTCCCAGTCATGTTATCCATGGCAGGGAGTGTGTGTGTGTGTGTGAGGCATGTGTGAGCTTGTCTGTGTGTGGGTGTAAATGTGCAAAGTGCACCTAGCCTGGCAAGCACTGTGGTGACATCACCGCCACTTAGTGGCGACGTCACCACCACTTAGTGGCGAATGGCGTGTTGTTGTTATAGTTGGTGGGCATATGTACCATGTGTGTCCGCGTGGAGCGGTAAGTGCAGCGGTTAGCACGCTATGAACTTGGCAACACGAGTTTGATTCCTGCTCACGGCCAACACCAGTGTCCCATCTGAAATAGTCCTGGGGGCCTCCCCAAGCTTGACTCGGCCTCAAATGAGCACCTGGTGCACTGTGCATGTTGCAAGCCACCCACCCCCTTGTGTGCCGTAGCAGCCTTCATTAGGTGTTCGCAAACAGCTCTTAGCCCCAAAAGTCTGTCAAGGGTATACATGGCATCGTTGTTCTTGCATGTCCGTGTGCTCTGTACCTTGACCGCATACTCTTTGTTGTTGATGAGGCTGCAGCAAGTCTGCACGCGTGCGTACGCTCCCTCCCCGAGCAGCTCCCCCGTGAGCCGGTACAGGTCTGTGCCGACACGCACGCATCACGCGCCCATCAGTAATCACGCTCACCGCCGCAGGGGCCGTTCTGTGGGGGCGCTGTCCCCCTCCTCTTTTGAATGAGCGTCAGTGCTCCACTTTGTGGCAGAGGTCGCAAACGGGTTTTGATTCCTTACCCGTACCCGGCCGCACCAGGGTCGCAAATGGTTACCCGGCCGGGTAGGGGTACCCGTTCCCTACCCGTACCCTACCCGAAATGAGTGACAAACGGTTACTCACCAGTGACTCACGGCCTACCCGTACCCGGCCGCACCAGGGTCGCAAAAGGGTACCCGTACCCGGCTATCGGGTAGGGTACGGGTATCGGGTACCCGGTTGCGACCTCTGCTTTGTGGGGGAAGATCCAACAGCGGTTGATCTTCCCCACAAAGTTCCCCCCCCCCCCTTCTCCCGTGCCAAGCCACCTCATTCAGAGTCGATTGGCCGTGCATTTAGCAGAGTGCGCTCCACTCACCTCCAAATCTCCCCGAGAAGCTGTCGGTCGCACGGGTTCTCTTTTTCTTGTTCTTCTTCCCTCGTTTTGTCGGGTCGATGATGTCGATGGGCTGGCTGCACGGGATATCTGTTGCGTGCACATCAAAAACATGTGTTCGTTAAGGCGAGAGATAAATACCATCTCTCTTCCAGATGCTACCACCGCTGCACCTTCCAAACCGCCTGTGTCACGATGCGTGGTGCATCATGGGAGCCGCCACTAAAATCGCCAGGTCAAGGACATGCGCTGCGTTATGAAATTTCACATTAAGCCAATGGAAATTCAAATATGTCAGACAATTAAAAATTCGTCAGGTCAAACGATTTAGGAGAATCGTGCGTGCTGTAATTACAGGAGCGCATTTACTCTGCCACGCCGCTACGGACCACCTCGGGTTTCGAGTTGCGTTATCCTGCAGGCCTCTACACCAGCACCCGGGGTGACCAACAACAACCGTGCACCACACTCCTGGCGCTCGGCCAAGCAAACAGAATGGAGATCGCGCGACGCCGTATCATCCGACACGGGGTGGAAATTTAAACCGTGTGGCGCTAGCGCCAAGGTTGCGGGTCAAGGGATGAGGTCGCATGTGGCACGATGCAATGAAAACTGCCGCTAATTCATGAAACCTGACACCACATTGCGGGGGGCAAGTGGGGCAAGTGGGGCAAGTGGTGACCGTGGCCGCCTGTGTGCTCATTAGTCTGCGAGGGTAGAGGACCTGACACCACAGACATCCAGAGGCAAGAGCTCATGGATTTGTGCAGGAACTGGTGGTACTCCCAAACCTGCTGGGATGCAGTGGCCAATAAGTATAACCCGTAAAAACAAAGTTTTTCACTCTAAATCCTTTATATGTGTGGCGGCTAGAGTCCTCTCGTCCTCTGGCTTGAGATGGCTGCCACCTATGGGTCAGATGATTGTCTGCCAGTATTAAGCAATTGGTAATTAAATTTTTTATTTTTTTCCCTAAACAGTGTAACATTTTCGAAAAAAAAATTCACGAACATTAATTGTCTCGCACAACGAGTCTGTGTGCAAAATGTCAGCTCGATTGGATCACGGGAAGTGGGTTAAAAAACGACCGAAAGGTTTGCACGGTCGTAAGCAAGCAAGCAAGCAAGCGAACTTAATATAAAGGATTTAAAAAGGCAGTACAACCAGTGGGGGTTTGTGAATCCATCTATGCAGATCTTTGTGTTACCCCCTGGCCCCCCTAAAATTATCTAGGTTCCTCCCACGTGCCAATAACTCCAAACAAGAATTGACCAAACATTCCATTGTAGCAGAACCGTCATTAGAAATGAGTCCTGAGACTCGACAAAGGTTTCCCCAGATAATTAATAAATGACTTGCACCATTATTCCAAAAAGGCGATCAACTCATCCCATTATCTAGCTGGATTCATAAAATGAGCACCACTTGTGGGATGTCAAAAAACAGCTTTTCTACAGATAACACTGATCCTGCAACAGTAAATGTGGCATTTCCACCATTGAACATGACCGCCACCAAAAACGTACACGAGCAGGGAAATTATTTTGACGGACTCCACTGCACCGATGCAAATCTGTAAACCCCGTGTGGCCAGAGGCACCAGTGCTTGCGAATCGGAGTTTTATTTCCGCAGAGGCTGCGACACAGATCGGTCACCCCCCTCCCTCCTCGCCTGATGCAACAGCGTTCACACGACGGCGTCGCCACACGCCGCAGGGAACGCACGCGGGGTCTATAAACAGGCAGCGTGGGGCGACAGCACCGCCGGCCTCGTGCAAGAGCGCTCGCGTATAAACAGATAACAAGGCCATCATCACATGACCACCGCAGCCACCAAGCCTGGGAATTTTCCACAGCTCTCTTTTCAAGTGCTGCGAATTTCAGTTCATATATATGCATACTGTGCAGTCTACACATGTATACTGTACAGTTCGTTGCCGTCAAGTACCCAGTAACAAACAGCACTAGTATGAAAGATGAAACGGATAACAGTTAATGCATTGTTGAATAGTGCAAGGTTATTTTAGGAGCTTGGGAAGAGAGAGGCGATGATGGGAGGGAATTTCAAAGTTGAGCTGTGTGGGGGGTGTGTTGTTGTGACCTGCAGTGTGGTGGTGGTGGTGTTGAGTCCTCAACACGGATGGAGGAATCAATAAATGAAGTTCACGGAATCATGAACCATAGCAGTAGCAATGGAAGAGAGTGATATGGAGGAGATTCACTTTAGTTCCGAAAACTTTTTTTATTGTATGTTGAACGTCTTTCCCACCGCACGTAGCCAACAGTGCCAACTTGCTGTGCCATGGAAGGGCGTGAAAAAATAAAGTACAAAAGCAGTTATAGTATTACTCCTGTTTTATTAATGCGAATCAAAATGGTGCACGGTCAGGAGTTATTTCTAATTAAAATATCCACAAGAGATGTCTAACAACACCCTTTAAGGGTCTGAGGATTGATTATTCATGAATATGTGTCTGTGTCAATCGTTGCTCACCAACAGAAGATCTTTGGTTTTGTAAGGAGTTATGTAACTTGTTGATGTGCTGCCCATAAACCTGACCCCACCAGGGAGGGTTCAAACCCCTGGCCATGACACGCACAAAAGAAGGTGGGATCTTTGTGCTCTGCAAGCAAGAATTCAGGCAACAGGCACAGAGCCATATCGCCCACCAGCCAGGTAAAAAAAGGGCAGCAAACGGGTGGGCAGTGGCGAGCAGTGGTGAACGGCAGTGGGCAGTGGTGAGTGGCATTGGTTGGGAAGGTAGGATTGGGTGTTGCAGTCGGGGTTGAGCGTGGATTCACTGGCACTGAGAGGGGTGGGCAGCTGCTGCCCATGGCATCGCAGCACTGCCATGGCGCAAGGTTGCATCAGATTTTGCTAGGAGGCTGCTGTCACGAAAGTGAAAATATCACCACGTATCATCCTAATCACCATCGTCGTCACATTTACACATTGCTGCAGCCAGAATTAAATTTAGTAATTTAATTATGAAACTGGCTACAAAAACCATCGTGTGAAAATAGCCCAATTGAATCGTCATTTTGATTCAATTGAGACTAGTTTCTTGACCGCAGGATTTTTTTTTATGCTATTTCAAGCAAGGCAGAGTACCTGATCACTAAAATTTGTCTGAGGATTGTTCTTGAACTCACTGGTGAGTGAGCAGAAACAATAACTGGTACGATAAACACTTGTACACAGGGCAACCTGTGTGGCCTTGGTCGGGTGGTGGAGGGTTTCAGACAATAACCTGGCCCGAAAACGACGTGGTGAAACCCACACGTCAATCATAAATCACCATCATGGTTTATTATTACATACACTACCCCGACTCCCATGCAGCAACATTCCAAGGCATCAAAAGACGACCCCCACTACTTCTAAGCGTCTCTCATTCCACATTCTCATGGCAAGGTCACTCCATAAGACTGCAATAAAACAAATTTCTGAAATGGATGATGGGCATACTCAGAATGACAACATTCACATTCTTTACTGCAGGAACAACAGCTGCAACTGAACGAGAAGAGGGGTGGGGGACAAACAACCAACTTCACAATCACCAAGGCCCCACACACCACCCACACCAGGTCCAACCACGTGGCGTTGATCTCGCCAGAACTTTGGCGAAATTTCCAGAGGGGGCGGCACGCGTGGAATTTGGTCTGATTTACGATCAGAGACTTGAGCAGCAGCAGAAATGTCCAGACGCTTACAGAATTCAAAGGGAGGCTCTATCCAAGACAAGCGCCACCCATCATCATTAGCATCAGCAGAACTGCTTTGTGTATAGTTTGTCGACCTTCTCCCGTACCTCCAATTAGCACGGTTGGCTACAAACGATGGGAGTTAAGTTTAACATACAAGCAAGGCAGATTATACAGCATCGCAAGAAAACCTGCGCCCGTTACAAACTCCACCGCGATTATGAGACGAAGCTCGTATGGTTGGCGCAGTATAAAGTAATGCTATCATACACTGCACACACATCAGATTTACCACTTCAACTACCCCTGGCAGATTGGAAGAGTTGCAATTCAGGGTCACGGTTAAACTCAAGAGACGATCGTTTGACGTCGCGGCGAGTGGTGGGTGGGTGCCCCTCGTGGTGCAGCGGCGATGTTCCGAACCCTTTGTTTACGATGCACGAGAAGAATCGCACGAGTCTCATGCTCGCGACTCAACCCACGAATCACAGTAGAGATGGACACGGGATGGGTTGTCGCTCTGATGTATTGAACAGTGAATTTTGCGATAAGATCGCCATTACAAAAGGGAGGCCTGGGGACATCCCCATTTTGGAATTAAATCCGTTGAACTCAAACGGCCGTAACGGTTAAACACACAACGTCCAAACAGCATAGGCCGACTATCCTTCACCATAACCACTTGCAAATAGAATTTGGATTCGAGCATGCAGAAGTGATTGATGGTCAAGCGTTCGCCATTTCACTCCAGCCACTCGCTCACCGGCGGTCAGTCACCTTGATCGCTCTTCTGTCACTACCACCATCGTAGCCGTGAACTTCACTCGTTGGTCTAGAGCAGTGGTTCTTAACCTGGGGTGCACGCTACCCCCTAGGGGTGCGAGATGCCCCTTACTGGGGGTGCGAGACATGGCCAGATTTTTTTTTAGAAGGTAAATCTTCAAAACACAAATTAGGCACGGGGCACATATGTACAACTACTTTGTTTCAATCAAGCCAATGTATTTATTAAAATATTTTAACGATATGGAACCAAAAAGGGTCCAAGGCTACAATAAAGGTTACGAACCACTGCTCTCCACCGAACCTTTGGTCCCATCCATACTTTGTTCAACCACCACACGTCACAACTCATCCCACGAGCTCACTCGCCAACCCACGAACTCACCACACTGCAGGTCACAACATGTCTTTATGCTTCTACCCTCTCTTACTTGCCCAACTCTGGATTTGTATGCATGTTGAATTGTAACTTTAGTTCTGAAAACGTTATAATTTTATTGTACGTTGAACGTATTTCGCAACTTACAGGCCCAACCTAAACACTAAAATCAATCAGTTAGTTGCCTTTCCATCATCTTTTCCCAAACTTACAAGAACCTCACGCTCAATTCCAAAGTACGTTTCACAATCGCGCCTATTGCAACATTGACGGTGCCGTTTGTTGCTGGCCGCTCGACCCTGTGTTTAAAAACCAATTTTAAAAAGCCATCGCTGGGGCTGCGGGCAGCTCGCGAGCGGAGAGGGACTGCCACCGCTGTCCTTGCGATTGGTTTTTGTTGCATCACATCACATCCCATCCCACCCAGGACATCGCAATTCCTGGCAAATTCTCACGCGCGCACACACGGGGAATTGCGCGCGCGTGTGCATTACATAACCTCGCGCACGGAACATTCCGGATCCCACAATAATCCCGCTCCAGGGTTTCACGTTCCCCAACAACGCCGTGATAGCGCGCACATCCATCCAATCCACGGTGAGCAAACGCCACCGTGGAAATCAGCGCAAAAACAAACAACAACACCAACCACCAAAATAGAAAAAAAGATATCCAACAAAACAAACAAAACAGCGACCCGACGTTTCGGGCGATGGGCCACACTCACCAGGCCGCCGGCAGCTCTCCGTGGAGAAGTCCGAGAAGTCGTCGGCATCCAGCTCCGTGGCGGAGAGTTGGCTCCCGGCTCCACGCGCCACGTCGAAACTGAAGTGGAACCCCGAATCGTTGGACATGGAGAGGCCGTGCTGTGGACAGGCGAGGTGGTGTGTGGGAAGAGGGGTCATCAGCATGGCTCCACGAGTCTGCACTCAATCACCGGTTGACCATCTGCGGTCCAGGGCACGGGGCTGGTGGTGGAAATTCCATAAGATCACGGTATTTGGGGTCTCCATGTAAGTTTATTCGAGCCTGCAAGGTCCTCTGTGGGTTCACTGCAAGTCTTTGGGTTCTCAAGACGCGGCACGTGTTGGTTGGTCGTACCCAACCCCCTTGACCTGGTTAATAGTTACGATTCAGGGATGTTACACATGAACATTGCCATCACCTTGCATCATGCCCACTAACAATAACAACCGTCACAGCCACCATCGGCATCCCACCATCATCGCCGTTATCATCTTGACCATCAGAACCATTACACATAAGCACCACCACCAAGCAACCACCCACATCATCAGTAGCATAAACCACGAAAAAAAAAAACACAATTTCGGAGGCGAAATAAAATGTCGAAATCGCTCCGGGATGCGTAAAAAGCACCACGTCATTGTGTGGTGGAGGGCCGACTCACGCAAGCTCCAGTGTGGTTCAGAGTTCGCCACAACAACAACAAAACAACAACAAAACAACAACAACACTTCAAGAGCTTGCCAATGAACTCTAAGCGCTGCTGGGGGGGGGGACAGCACGGCCCCCCCATCACTCAACGTCATCCCTCCCCCACACCAGCAGTAGGAACAGCCAAGCCAGAGTTCTAGCACACACACAAATCGATCTTTGAAGGCGACTGATGATAACGAGATGATGATGATGATTGCAAGTAGAACGTAAATCGTGATACTACAGAACTAGATTTAAACCCACGACCTTCAACTGCTGGTGGTGTGTGTGGGGGGGGGGGGAGGCCAATCGCTCTCCAACCACTGCACCAACAACAACAACAACAACACAGAGACGGCACCATGCTAATAAACAATTCGCTATAATAGTCACGCACGGGTATGCAAATTGAAGTTTCCACCTCAACTGCACTCACCTTAAAGGAGCGCCCGAAGTCGTCCATGTCGATGGCTTTGTTTTGCACGACCATCTTGAGGCAAATCGCACTCGCTAGTTTGTTTTTATTATCAATAAACAAGCGAACGAACCGGCCCTTTGGGGACACACGATGCCGACTGCTAAGACGACGAAGACGTCGTCGTTGTTGTTGTTGTCGTCGTCGTTGTTGTTGACGAAGACGTCTGCTGCTGCTACTGTCAACACAGAGCCTGGCAGATTGAATGCGACCCTATTTCATTCGGCAACACGATGACGCCTTTCTAACGTTGTTGTTGTTGTGTGCGCGTGTGTTGCGTACAACTGCAGCATCCGATTGTTGTTTATTATTATTTATCCTGCAATCGATGCACTCACAATGAGAGTCGTGCGCGGGTTAAAACGAAATAATGGGACTAAAACAATATCCCGTTGTTATAATCCCGCTTCCCTCCCCCTATCGTGCTCTCCTCAATTTGACTCGTGTTCCTCCAACCTCGATTCTTCCACCTCCTTCTTCTCCTTCTCCACCACCACCTCCACCCTTCATCCACCCTCCTCCAGTCCTCCTCGTCCTCGTCCTCCTCCTTACAACGGGAGCCGCTCTGCGAGGAGTCGTCACTCGAGCGCGGCCTTTTATAGTCGGGCTCAACCTCCCCCCCCACCCCCCATCCCCCCACTAAGGCTACGTCATTGCGACAGCCCCGCGTGGTGACGTCACGACGCAGGTCCCGCCCCCTCTCACGTCGTGCGTGATGACGTCATGGCGCTAGTCTCGACTCTCCGCACGCACCTCCTCGCGCCATCGTGTGCGCGGTGACGTCACCGCGTTTGTTTATTATCGTAATAGATTTGAAGGTTTCGTGAAAAAATAATATTAATAATAGAAATAAAATGATTATTTTATTTCTAATATTATTATTTATATTCTTTTTATTGTTATTAAATCGAAAAGTGAAAATAAAAATAATAGAAATAAAATGATTCTTTTATTTATATTTTATTATAAAATAATTATTTTACTTATATTTTATTATAAAATAATTCTTTTATTTCTATCATTATTTCTATTATTTTTATTATTTTATTTTTATTATTATCATTTCTATTATTTTCATTATTATAATTTTTTACCTACGTGACTTTACCGAAAAACCTAAGAGTATCATCATCATCATCTGGCACGTGCCGCGGAATTAGGTCATCGTGCTCCGATTACATTCGCAGCACGATCCGTTTCGATACTCACGGCATGTACATTTTAGTTTTTCAGTTTCATGTATTAGGTATAGCCCTGTGAGACATTGGACTCTTGAATCGGGTGCAACCGCAACAAAGAAAAACATGAACAAGAAAACATCTTAAAGTGACTATGCGCAAACAGAAAAATCCAGGAAAAAGATGCAAAGTCTTCCAGAAAAAAAAGCACCGTACACCAACGCTGTGCAAAAATCCCAGTGGGATGCAAGTCAAACAACAACAACAACCACAACAACCACAAGCCAACTTAGATTAAAGCCATCATTCTAACTCCGCACTACAAACAAACAAAACATGGCCAAACCATAAAACTTTTCGAAATCACCAAAATAAAGCCATAAAAGCAATGAAACAGCGATCATAGTTAACTGTGACCGACATTTCACAATAAACGACATAAACAACACGTACCACCAAATCCTGTGCATGTTCATAGGCTGCTTGCATTACGCAGCTCGGTACACGAAATCGCAAAGGTCCCAAAATGCCGAGCGACCAGCAACATCCAGCACGTCGAAAGTTGCAATCAACTTAAAGACGTCATCGAGGCCATCTGCCATTAACACTATTGATTTATCTGTAAACCGGTTTTAGACCGGTTTAAAAACCGGTAACCGCTATTTGGGGACTTTAATTCGAGTTTCTTGACTTCCGTGTCGATTTCCATTCCGTTGATGCCACCACCACCACCACCACCCACCCCTTCCTCGCTCACAACAGAATCAGAATCTGTATGTATACTGCAGGAGAAATCCGATTAGCTATGAAGCGCTTTGTTTTTTACAAATGTTATGTGCAGCTGCCTCGCGGCCCTCCAAGATCTGTGCCAACAGGCACTCACCATCTACTCGTAGACTCAGAGACCCATAGACTCTCACAGAGACCCATAGACTCACGTAGAGACCCATAGACTCACACAAAGACCCACATACTCACACAAAGACCCATAGAGTCACATAGAGATCCATAGACTCACACAGAGACCCAAATAATCACACAGACACCCATAGACTCGCATAGAGATCCATAGAGTCACATAGAGACCCATTGACTCACATAGAGACCCATAGACTCACATAGAGATCCATAGACTCACACAGAGACCCAAATAATCACACAAAGACCCATAGAGTCACATAGAGACCCATAGACTCACACAGAGACCCATAGCCTCACATAGAGACCCATAGACTCACATAGAGACCCATAGAGTCACATAGAGACCCACAAATTTATACTCTTTGGTTCTTTCGGTAAAGTCACGTAGGTAGAAATAAAATAAAATTAAACAAATTACGACGTTTCGATCGCAACACAAGCGATTGTCATCAAGTGGAACAACCACAAATGCTGACCGGGTCAGATAATCGTCACTTGGTGTTGGCCGTGAGCTTTAAAATCAAGATTGACCCCCAAATCTGCCAAAACAGTGTCCCACAATCTGATGTCCACTTGCTTCATCGCTGCCCGCTTGCTCTGTGTGTGGCTTGTTGTTGATGCGCCTTTGCCATTGTAGCGGTTCCAGGTCTTGTGATCGAGACTCACCCCTCGCTGTCTCGAGTACCCTTCAACTCCCACGGCGACACGAAATCACGAAACTCGATAGCCTCCTCCTCGCCGCTGATGCAGTTGTTCGTCGCTCGCCCACCGCTCCGTGACTTCATCGGCGTTTAACGATTAACGCAATTCAATTGATTATCACATCACCCCATATACACCGTGTCAACTCATTACAGTTTGACTCCCGTGTTCTTGTACAGGGAAATTGAGTTTTCAGGTTCATACGGTGTACAGCCGTGTTTATCTCTCGTGATGGGACTTTGTAGGATGAACGTTGAGATTTGTAAGGCGTCACCAATAAAGTCTAGATTGGTCTGTAGTAAGGTAGGGCACTGATAAGGTGTTGACGGGGATGTAATTACCACATCATCCGCGATTACATTGAACCAACCGACGATGTTCATCGTCTCCGTAATCGATTCTTCTCATCAGTTCGTGCTCAGGCGCGCGAGCAAATCGATTTGCGTTTCGTGAATAAAAAAAAACGAACTCCCACCGGGTTATTCTTTGGTTATTTCGGTAAAGTCACGTAGGTGAAAAAGTAATAAAATAAAATAAATATTTATTTTATTTTAAAATAAATACATATTTTTGTTGTGAAATAAATAAAAATATTTTTTTCACCTACGTGACTTTACCGAAAAAAACAAAGAGTATGGATCCTATTTCGATTTATAGCTTTCGTGACTGGTTCTTTCGGTAAAGTCACGTAGAATGGAAATAATAAAATAATAAAAATAAAACATAATAAAATAATTCTCACGACGTTTCGGCCACAACGCAAGCAGCCGTCCTCAGGTGGAGAACAGGTCTGTCGAGAAGACAGAGTATGGATCCTTGCAGTGACGAAATCTTCAAATCGAGAATGATCCCACCGCTTACTCACCGCTTACCGAGGATGACGAGGCCAAGTTTTTGTCGCGTGACGCTTTGCTTCGTTGCCTCCCGGTTGCATCATGGGGGGTGTCTCTTGGCTCTTGGCTCGAAGCTCCGTGAGTCGAGCAGGATTATATTTATTTTATTTTGAGCCTCGAAAGTGATCGACGACCGTGCCACGCACACAACGGCAATGTTTCCCCCACACCGCAGCGGGTTTCTCATTTGAGGCTGAGTCGACCTAGGGGAGGAGACTGGTGCAGATAACCGTCTGCCTGGTGATGGCCGTGAGCGGGAATCGAACTCGGGTGGCCGGGTTCGTAGCTAAACCGCTTACACCACCGCTCCCCACAAAGATAAAGATCCCCCGTATAGCCAGTAAAAGATTGTTGGGGCAAGTGCTGTTAGCGAGCACCTATGAAGGCCGGCACGGCACACGAAGAAGTGGGTGGCCAGCACCACAATGTCCACATACAGCACCAGGTACTCATTTAAGGCTGAGTCGACCTCTGCTACACTACCGCTCCACTGCTGGAGCGGTAGTGTAGCAGAGCAAGAACTGCAGCAGTTGCATCATCATCTCCCGCGGGACTGGCCGTTTCCAGGAGGGGTTTCCCTGCTTAACTTTTCGCAGTAGCGGGCGACGATTGAGTGATTTGCATGTTACTGGTAGGAACCTCCTGGTTACACCAGCCCACAAGGGATTCTTGTGTCCGTCCGTCGTACATCCAAAAATTGGAGGGGTGGGGCTGGATGGAGAGGGGAGGGTGGGGAGGGGCTGGATGGCGAGGGTGGGGCTGGGTGGGGCTGGGTGGGCAGGGGCTGGTTACCCCGTGGTGCCCTTATAAAACTCAACGTTTAACCTACTCACGCCGGCTTGTGCCCGCCCTCACAGTCGGCCATATTTGCGGAATACACCACGCCGCCGTTGACCCTGGCCATTGACCGAGCAACCTAACGTTCCTACCAGCTCCCTCCGCAGGAGGAATGTGTTTAGGTCAATCCATTTGACTCGTGCTGATAATCGCGTAAACACGCCAAGTCCGCTCTGCCAGCGGGTGAAGATCATCACTCGTTAGCGGACAGGGGGCAGCCTACACAGAGCCACTGCACGGACTGCACGTGCCCACCGTCAATCATCATTATCATCAGCCATGGTCTATCCACCGCTTGCTAACGGCCTCCATGCCTCTGGGTCCGGTGCTGTCACCGTGCTCCTGGAAGCCCTGCACCGGAGAGGGGGTGGGGGGGTCATCTCGCCGTTCCATCTCCGCGGCGGTGGTGCCAGTCGCCTGGTTTGGATCCATTCCATCGGCCACCACCACCAACCTCCTACACCACCACCAACCTCCTCCACCACCAACCTCCTCCACCACCACCAACCTCCTCCACCACCAACCTCCTCCACCACCACCAACCTCCTCCACCACCAACCTCCTCCACCACCACCAACCTCCTCCACCACCACCACCACCACCACCAACCTCCACCACCAACCTCCTCCACCACCACCACCAACCTCCTCCACCACCACCTCCAACCTCCTCCACCACCAACTCGAACCTCCTCCACCACCAACCTCCTCCACCACCAACCTCCTCCACCACCACGAACCTCCTCCACCACCACCACCACCAACCTCCACCACCACCACCAACCTCCACCACCACCACCAACCTCCTCCCTCATCACCACCAACCTCCACCACCACCAACCTCCACCACCACCAACCTCCACCACCACCACCACCAACCTCCACCACTACCACCACCAACCTCCTCCACCACCACCACCAACCTCCTCCACCACCACCACCACCACCAACCTCCTCCACCACCACCACCAACCTCCTCCTCCACCACCACCACCAACCTCCTCCACCACCACCACCAACCTCCTCC